TAAAATAAAATGAAAGGTTGCAGAAAGAAGAAAAAAATCCTATTAACATTTGCCCCTTTTTCAAAAAAAATAAATCAATTCAAACAACAATAATCTTCAAATAACAAAATTTAACAACAAAACTTAATTTCCTTCTTGAACAACAGTTCTTATGAATGCACATTATACAAATTCATATTTCTTTAACAATCTAACTTTTATTGTTCTTTTAAACAAATTTATTGAGCCAGCATTTTTATAATCTTTCCAGATTATTCCACAGTCTTATTCCTTGTACTGAAGTACATCGGTCCTTCCAAGTTGGTTTGAATTTTAGGCTTTACAAACATCTCTTGCCCCTTAAGGTTAGAATTACTTACTCTCTAAAGAAAGTTTAATTGGATATTTAAAAGTAACAGCTTTTTCGGAGCCTTATGACCTGCAAAATATTATAATCAACCAACTCATAAAATTTCAATAATTTCAACAGATAAAATACTATATTTCATGGGTGACAGTAATGTTTTCTGGTGATAATTCTTACGGCTCTTTTCTGTAAAATAAAGATGAGGTTTGTAATTGTTTTACATGCATTCCCCCAGACTTCAATACAATAATTCAAATGTGGAACAATTATTACATTATATAACATAAACGCAGCTTTGTCGTTAAATAAGTCCCTTACTTTGTACTATACTGCAATTGATTTGGCCATTTTTGTTCTTAAATAATTTACGTGAGATTTCCACGTCAGCATTTCATCAATGATGACACCCAAACATTTCACCTCACTGATTGCAAATCTCAACACCATCAACTCTAAATAGAACATCAATGGTTTTCTTTCTATTACTGAATATCATGTAGTTAGTTTTATCAAAATTTAAAGATAATTTATTTAGTTTTAAACCAACAAATTCTGTCTGCATCATTTCCAACAGCATTTCTATATCTTTTCCCAAACAGAAAATGTAGTGTCATCCTCAAATAATACACATAAAAGTCCTGACACATTCACCAAATCATTTACTTATAAAATAAACAACTTTGGTCCGAGTATAGAACCCTGAGGAACTCCACATRTAATGTTGCAGAGTTCTGATCTTACATCATTTATCTGTACAAACTGTTTCCTGTTTCCAAATAACTAGATAGAGCTGGTCCTCTTATACTATATTTATATAGCTTTTGAAGGAGAATATTGTGGTCAGTGTGGTCTGTGGACACATTACCTTGGCTATTTTCATGTTGTTTGGAAAAATTCCTTTTGAAAATGATAAATTACAGATACAGTATACGTAAAGGGATCAATAACATAATTCATTATATTCTTCACAAACGTCATGTCCATATCCACCCAGTCTTTTGATCTTTTGTCAGCAAAGTTTTTTACAATATTTATTATTTCTTCTTTATCAGTTTCACAAAAAAAATACTATTGGCATAACCCATGACTGTATGGCCTATATTCTTATCTACTCTTGGTATTTTAGCTGCAAGGCTTGGGCCAACATTTATGTAATATTGATTTAACTTATTTACTATAACACTTTTGTCATAAATTTCTTTGTCATCCTCTACAAAATATTGTGAAATTTCTGATTTTGCTTTGTGTCTCTTCAAAACACCATTCATYACTTTCCATGTTGCTTTCATATCACTTTTACTTTTATCCAATAAATCACTATAATATTCCTTCTTATGTTTTCTCATAAACCATACTAATTTATGTTTTTTTTTTGTATTTCTCTTCCATTTCCAATATTTAACATGATGTTTGCCTCATAGCATATGTCCAAGTCATTTGTGACCAAATATGTCTTGGGCAATTATAAGCAGAGAGAAGGGACTTTGGCAAATGTATTTGAAAAAGATTTATTGTCTGACCTAAGAATGCTGAAAATTTATTAATGACGTCAGGACTTCTCAGTGTACCAATTAGCCTAAACAGGGATGTTGTTGTTCTGTGGGAGGAAACCAAACTGCTCAGAGAAAACCCATACAGGCACGGAGAGAACATGCAAACTCAACCCAGAAAGGTCCTGAGCTAGGATTTGATCTGGCAACCTTCTTGCTGAGAGGTCAGCTCTACCAGCTGAGCTACCATGTCACCTCAATAAAGAATGTTTTTAATATTAAATATTTAAATTTAGTTTGGACAGGCAGGTTGAAGAGACTTGGYTTGGACAGGCAGACTGAAGGGAGTTGGTTTGGACAGGCAGATTGAAGAGACTTGATTTGGACAGGCAGAATGAAGAGACTTGGTTTGGACAGGCAGAATGAAGAGACTTGGTTTGGACAGGCAGGTTGAAGAGACTTGGTTTGGACAGGCAGACTGAAGAGACTTGGCTTGGGGAGGCTGACTGAAGAGACTTGGTTTGGACAGGCAGAATGAAGAGACTTGGTTTGGACAGGCAGATTGAAGAGACTTGGTTTGGACAGGCAGAATGAAGAGACTTGGTTTGGACAGGCAGTTTGAAGAGACTTGGTTTGGACAGGCAGATTGAAGAGACTTGGTTTGGACAGGCAGATTGAAGAGATTGGTTTGGACAGGCAGATTGAAGAGATTTGGTTTGGACAGGCAGATTGAAGAGACTTGGTTTGGACAGGCAGATTGAAGAGACACGGTTCGGACAGGCAGATTGAAGAGATTGGTTTGGACAGGCAGATTGAAGAGACTTGGTTTGGACAGGCAGACTGAAGAGACTTGGTTTGGACAGGCAGATTGAAGAGACTTGGTTTGAACAGGCAGATTGAAGAGAATGGTTTGGACAGGCAGATATGAGGCTAACGATATTGTGAACAAATAGCTGACATTTCACTTCAATATTAAATACAGATTTGATTACAGCTCCTTCAGTCTGAGGCCTCAGTGAACCAACAATATGACTGTTGTTAGGGGGTCGGGGGCTCTGCCTGGTGGGGAGGTGATGAGTTGCTAGGCTGGATTTAGACCTGAAGCACGGGGTTCTGTGCACTGTGGTGATAAGGCTAAAATCAAATAATACCCTGTTGAGTCATTTGTAAAGTGCAGTATTCTTCCAAGCTCTGAAATAAGAGAGGGAAACCTTTAGTAGCAGACGCATGTGGCTYCTAGGGTGATCTCGTTAGCATATAATWAKRWGAKRTKKTKTTTYYYCTYKTKTKTGYGYRWRAWAYACWYKTAAATAAAAAGASAGAGACGAGGTCAAACATCTTAGAGCTTAGGAGCGTAGTCGCTGYCAGCATTGTTAACGAACTGGTTGAATGTTTTCTCATCACAATGGGCTTCACTCTTCACGCAGATATTAATAGCCACAAAGCAATGTCACAACTACCC